AGGGCCCTGGCACACGCACACATGCACACACATACACACACCTGCAGGTGGGGCTCACTTGGTCAACCTGTTCCAATCTCACACAGGGCCCTGGCGCACACACACACACATGCATACATCACCCATGCCCCATCTGCCAAGGAAACGCTGTAAAGCTTTGTCTCCTGCACTGTGTCTACAGTAAACAGGAAGCCCCTCACTCCCCACAAGCGTGCCACATCCCTGGAGGGTGTGCGGCCAGGGGCGCCTGATGCTCACCGGGCAGCAATGGCATCTTGGTCCCTCACAGCATCGGCCTGTCCCCACTCGGCCCCGCGCAGTCGCACCTCCAGGCTCTCACTGTGGGCCTGTAACTCCAGCAGCCTGGCCTCCAGTGCCCGCAGCTGCTCAGTGTGGGCCTCCTTCACTGAGGCCAGCACCGCCTCACGCTCCCTGGCCAGACGGTCCAGCTCTTCATGCCTGGAACACACAGTGAACGACCGGCTCTGGGGGTGGGTTTCCAGTCCCAGAGCCGAGCCAGCCTGGGCATCTGCTCCCACTCCTTGCTTTGAACCCAGGCCACCTGTGCTCTCTGGGCCACCAGCCACACTCTCTCCTGCTGTAGCTGTTCCCATAGTCACATCTTCAGTGGATCACTTCCATCTGTGGGGTGCTTGAGTACTTGCAGGGGCCCACCTGCCATCCCCACCCCCACTCCTCACATGTGGACCGAGCCACTGTCCCACAGGATGGACACCCCTGCTCCTCACGTGTGGACCAAGCCACAGTCCCACCAAAGGACAGATACCCCCACTCCTCATGTGTGGACCAAGCCAGCACCCCACATGACAGACATCCCCACTCCTCATGCGTGGACTGAGCCACCATCCCACAGAACAGACACACCTGCTGCTCACATGTGGACCGAGCCATCATCCCACAAGACAGACATCCCTGCTGCTCATGTGTAGACCATCCCACCAAAGGACAAACACCCCCGCTGTTCACACATGGGCTGAGCCACCATCCCACTGAAGGACAGACACCTACCACGGGGTCAAGTGCAATTACCACAGCAGCACCACGTCCATGCAGCTCCCTGACTGACACAGACAGGTGCTGAGGGACCCAAGCCCATAGCACCTGAGCCAGCATGAGGGCCAGACCGGCCCAGCAGGGCCTTGGGCCCCTGTTCCACAGGCGCTTCTGGCACACAGCTCAGAGTTCCACGAGGCTCATCCACGCACTCAGGGACACCTCTGTGAACTAAAGGGGAAGTGTGGCCTCTCCTGCAGTGCCAGCCTGGCCTCCCAGTGAGGAGCCCCAGAGATGCTCCGTGAGAGTCCTCCTGCCCTTCCTGTGCCTGCTCTGGCCCGGCCATTCCTGGAGGTAAGCAAAGAGGCTGTGGGGGATGCGCCCCCACCTCCATAGGAAGGGTGCTCTAAGGCACCTCACATCTTGTCTAGCAATGTGTCACCTTACAATACAGTACACTGTTTGGGGAGCTCTGGTGGCAAAGTGGTTGAGCCATTTGGCTGCTAACCAAGAGACGTCAGTGGCTTCAACCCACCAGCTGCTCCGTGGCAGGAAGACGTGGCAGTCGGCTTTCGTGAAGATTGACAGCCTTGGAGACCCTGGGGGCAGTTCTACTCTGTCCTCTAGGGACGCTGTGAGTCAGAACAGACTCTGTGGTAGTGGGTGTGGCTTGGGCTTTACTTCTGTGAAGATTGACAGCCTTGGAGACCGACCCTGTGGGGCAGTTCCACTCTGTCCTCTAGGGGCGCTGTGAGTTGGAATAGATTCCAGGCAGTGGGTATGGTTTCTGGGTTACACTGTTTGGAGAAGTGTATATTCTCTCTCCATCTGGAAACCTCCTGAACACGTGGTGGTGATGTGGAGAGCACATGTCACTATTTCATGCGTTATGTGAACTATCTTAGGTGGCTGGTTTCAGAATTCTCCATGCAAGAGAAGCACATCACGTTGGGTAGGAGTATGTGGAGCGGGAAGGAAGCTTGCACCCAGGAGGGAGACCCCTGGAGGCTGGAGAGGTGCCTGTCTGCGGGTTTTCAGGTCAGGGTCCTGGGGGCTGAATCACTGCAGTGTTTGGATCACACTGTTGTTGTCAGGTGCCGTTGAGTTGGCTCTGACTCAAAACCACTCTGTACAACAGAATGAAACATGGCCCAGTCCTACGCCAGCCTCACAGTCCTTGCTATCTTGAGCCCATCACTGCAGCCACCATGTCAACCCATCTTGTTGAGGGCCTTCCCGTTTTTTGTTGACCCTCCACTTTACCAAGCATGACATCCTTCTCCAGGGAATGGTCCCTTCTGACAACATGACCAAAGGAGGTGAGGAGAAGTCTGGCTTTCAAGGAGCATCCGGCTGTACTTCTTCTAGGACAGATTTGTTCATTCTTCTGGCAGGCCATGCTATTTTCAGCATTCTTAGCCAACACCACAAGTCAAAGGCATTAACTCTTCTTCGGTCTTCCTTATTCATTGTCCAGCTCTCACATGCATATGAGGTGATTGAAAACACCATAGCTTGGGTCAGGTGCACCTTAGTCTCCAAAGAGACATCTGTGCTCTTCAGCACTTGAAAGAGGTCATTTGTAGCCAATTTTCCCAGTGCAATATGGCTTCTGATTTCTTGACTGCTTCTTCCATGGGTGTTTACTGTGGATCCATGTAATATGAAATCTTTGACAATTTCAATCTTTTCTCCCTTTATTGTGATGTTGCTTGTTGGTCCTGTTGTGAGGATATTTGTTTTCTTTATGTCGAGGTGTAATCCATACTGCAGACTGTAGTCTTTAATCTTCATCAGTAAGTGCTTCAAGTTATCTTTACTTTCAACAAGCAGAGTTGTGTCATCTGCATACTGCAAGTTGTTAATGGGTCATCCTTCAATCCTGATGTTGCGTTCTTCTTCATACAGTCCAGCTTCTCAGATTATTTGCTAGCCCCCTGCCTGCTGTGGTTCCTCCTCTGGTGCGTGTGCCGTGCTGATACCCTGCATCCTGCTCTGGACCCTGCACAGTCACCACAGATCCAACAGCCCTCCAGCTGCAGGTCCAGTGGCAGGTGGAGAAGCAGCCACCATACAGGGTTCAAGATGTCTCTTCTCAATCTGCAGATACTGACAAACATCATGGCAACAAGGCAGAGACACCCCCGGGTTAGCCACCTTCCCCCATGTCATTACACAGCACTCTCACGAGCACCTCACATCTTCACACTCATGGCTGAGTCCACACATCACAGTGTCCACACATTAAAGTGGACTCCACATGTCACAGTGCAGTCCACATGCCACAGTGTTCACACGTCACAGTGGAGTCCACACATCATTCCAGAGTCCACAAGTCACAGTGGCCACATGTCACAGTGTCCACACATCATGGCAGAGTTCACATGTCACACTGGAGTCCACACATCACAGTGTCCACATGTCATGGCGGAGTGGACATGTCACAGTGGAGTCCACACATCATGGCAGAGTCCACACATCACAGTGAAGACCACACATCATAGTGGAGTACACACCACGGTGTCTACATGTCACAGTGGAGCCCATACATCACGGCGGAGTCCACACGTTACAATGTCCACACGTCACAATGGAATCCACACATCACGGCTGAGTCCACATATCATGGTGGAGTCCACACATCACACGTCATGGTGGAGTCCACATGTCAGAGTGTCCACACATTACAGTGTCCACACGTCACAGTCCACACATCTTGGCGGAGTCCACACATCACAGTGTCCACATGTCACAGTGTCCACACATCACAGTGGAATTCACACATCACAGCAGAGTCCACATATCACGAAGAAGTCCACACATCACAGTGTAGTCCACACATCACAGCGGAGTCCACACGTCAGTGCCCACACGTCACTGTGGAGTCCACACGTCAAGGTGGAGTCCACACATCACAGTGTCTACATGTCACAGTGGAATCCACACGTCACAGTGTCCACACGTCACAGCAGAGTTCACACGTCACAGTGTTCATATGTCATGGTGGAATCCACAAGTCATGGCAGAGTCAACACATCATGTCACGGTGGAGTCCACATGTCACAGCAGAGTCAACACATCACAGCATCCACACATCATGGTGGTGTTCACACATCAGTGTTCACACGTCACGGCGGAGTTCACTGTGTCACACATCACAATGTTCACACAGTCACAGTGTCCACACATCACGCAGTGCCCACACATCACACAGTGTCCACAGGTCATGTAGTATTCACAGTCAGTGTCCACACGTTATGCAGTGTCTATGTTACACATTGTCCACACGTCACACAGTGTTCACAGTGTCTACATGTCAGTATCCACATGTCACACACTGTTCAGTCAGCATCCACACGTCACACAGTGCCCACACGTCACACAGTGTCCACATGTCGCAGTGTTCACAGAGTTAACAGTGTCCATGTCACGCAGTGTCCACACAATCACAGTGATCAGTGTTCGCACAATCACACTGCCTACGTCACACAGTGTTCAATGTCCACACATCATGCAGTGTCATGTCACAGTGTCCTCATGTCATGCAGTGTCCATATGTCACGCAATGTTCACTGTCACACCACCCACACATCACGTAGTTTCTGCATGTCACACACTGTTCACAGTCAGTGTCCACACGTCATACAGTATTCAGTGCCCACACGTCATGCAGTGTCCACACGTCACGCAGCATCCACATTCTGCAGTGTCCATACGTCACAGTGTCCACACATCACGCAGTGTCCACACATCATGCGTTGTTCACAGACACAGTATCCACATGTCACACAGTGCCCATGGTCATGCAGTGCTCAGTCATAGCATCCAAATGTCATGCAGTGTCCACATGTCACACAGTGTTCACAGTCACAATATCCAATGTCATGCAGTGCTTACACAATCACAGTGTCTACATGTCACAGTGTCCACACATTGTACAGTGTCCACACGTCATGCAGTGTCCATGTCACACAGTGTTCAGTCACAATATCCACATGTCACGCAGTGTTCACAGTCACAGTGTCCACACGTCACACAGTGTCCACACATTGTGCAATGTCCACACATCATGCAGTGTTCACACGTCACGCAGTGTCCACACATCACACAGAGTCCACACGTCACGCAGGGTTCTGCAGAATAAAGGAGGCTTCTCTCACAGTATCAACTGAGACACACAAGTGTCCACACATTGTGCAGTGTCCATGCGTCACGTACTGTCCACACGTCATGCAGGGTTCTGCAGAATAAAGGAGGCTTTTCTCACACTATCAACTGAGACACAGTGTCCACATAGTGTCCACACATCATGCAGTGTTCACGCGTCACGTACTGTCTTCACGTCACGCACTGTCCACACGTCACATAGGGTTCTGCAGAATAAAGGAGGCTTTTCTCACAGTATCAACAGAGAAAGACACTGTTGCTTGGGTTCCTGGGATCCTTTACCCACCCTAGACGGGGATGTCCTTCCAACTAGAGTCACATGCACCCTCAACCCCACGCCTCCACAAATCCCACCCGGCCCCCACCTGTCCTTCCCTGAGCCCTGCTACACTCCGCCCTGGCCTGCTTCACATCTTGGCTATGGTGGGGTCTTGAAGGGGTGGCCCTGCCTCTGAGCCACACACAGAATACTGACACCTGGAAATGCTGATCACAGAGGCCACGCCATCCACATAGAGGCATGGAAACTGCCACTGTAACTGGGAGGGGGGCTCTGGGAATCAGAGAAATCTGGATTCACAAGAACAAAACTATTCTGCTGAAAAGGTTCACAAAATAAAGGCCATTGTGGGGCCAAAGTGAAATTGGTTGCTGTAATTTGAAATTGATAAATTAGTGGGTGGTTGGGGGGGAATGGACCACTAGGAAACCTACTTGTGTGTCACTGAGGAATCCTGACCTGAGAGCAAAGCCGGCCCAGAGCAGCGAGTCTGCAGCCCCAGGCTTTGCACAGTGGCACCTGTCCCTGTCCCTCAGACCACTGACAGGCAGTAAAACAGGCCCACAGCAGTGAGTCTGCGGCCCCAGCCTCTGCACAGCAGTACCCACCCTTCCATCGACAGGCAGAGCACTCACTTCCTCTGGAATGTCTCTTCCTCCTTGGCCCGGGTCAGCTGCACAGAGCAGAGCTTGCCCTCCAAGTCCCTGATCCTAGAAAGCAGGAGATATAAGACAGGACTCAAGCAAAGAGCAACCCGAGGGGCAGAAAGGCTCAGCCCAGGCCCAGGCCCTGCCGCACACCGGGCATCCTTCACGGCTGTGAGGTCCTGCAGCTCACGGTCCCTGCGTGCCACCTCATGTTCCAGCTCCACGACGGTCATCTCCGTTCTCTGCAGAGACTCTGCAGCCTCAGTGCTCGCTTCCTTCAGGGTCTCAATCTCCTTCTTCAATAGTTTCATCTTTGAGAGACAGAAAAAGTGTACACAAGGACACAGCTGGGACAAGGTGGAGGAGGCAGGGGTGGGGTGAGGAGGCGGGGGTGGGGTGAGGAGGCGGGGGTGAGGTGAGGAGGCAGGAGTAAGGAAAGGAGGCAGAAGTGAGGTGAGCAGGCAGGGGTGAGGTAAAGTGAGGACGTGGGGGAAACATTGCCACTCAGCTGGGATTGGGAGAGAGCAGAAAAATTAAAACTGGGGAAGTAAAACAGTGACAATGTCCTCACACTCCAGTGGTGCCAATACAGACCAAGTGCCTCCAAGGACCCCTGTGCTTGGGACTCAAGCCCCATCCTCCCTTGGTGCCAGACTGCACCAAGCCCGTCATGCAAGAGGCCACCTGAATTCTAGCTGTTCTGCTTTACAGCATGTAATGTGAATGTCCACCCTCATCTCTGTCTGTCAGCCTGTGGGGACGGCGTATCACTGTGAGGCTGGAGACTCAGTCACCGGTACTTCAAATACCAGCAGGGTCACCCATAGTGGAGAGGTTTCAGCAGAGCTTCTAGACTAAGACAGGCTCAGAAGGAAGGGGCCATCCACTTCTCAAAGTACGAACAGCCCTGGAACACTGTCTGATATAGTGCTGGAAGATGAGTCCCTCAGGTCGGAAGGCACTCAGAATGTGACTGGGGAAGAGCTGCCTCCCCAAAGCAGAGTCAACCTTAATGACGAGGACGGAGTAAAGCTTTTCAGACCTCCATTTGCTGATGTGGCATGACTTAAAATGGGAAGAAATAGCTGCAGACATCCATTAATAGTCAGAATGTGGAATATATGAAGTATGAGTCTAAGATAATTGGAAGTTGTCAAAAATGAAACAGAACACATAAAGATCAATTTCCTAGGCATTAATGAGCTAAAATGGACCAGTTATGGCCATTTTGAATCAGATAACCATATGATCTACTATGCCAGAAATGACAAATTGAAGAGGAATGATGTCACATTCATTATCACAAAGGATGTTTCAAGATCTGTCCTGAAGTACAATGCTGTCAGTGATAAGATAATATCCATACACCTACAAGGAAAACCAGTTACTACTACTATTATTCAAATTTATGCACCAACCACAAAGCCAAAGATGAGGAAATTAAAGATTTTTATCAGCTTCAGCAGTCTGAAATTGACAACACAAATAATGTATTGATTATTACTGGTGATTGGAATGCAAAAATTGGAAACAAAGAAGAATCATCAGTAGTTGGAAAATATGGCCTATGAGACAGAAATGATGCTGGAGATGGCATGATAGAATTTTGCAAGACCACGCGACTTATTCATTGCAAGTACCTTTTTTCAACAACACAAATGGTGGCTATACACGTGGCTTTGCCAGATATAGTACACAGGAATCAGATTGACTACATCTGTGGCAAGAGGCAATGGAAAAGCTCAATATCTTCAGCCAAAACCAGGCCAGTAGCTGATTGTGGAACAGACCATCAAGTGCTCATATACAAGTTCAACTTGAAGTTGAAGACAATCAAAATAAGTCCATGAGAGCCAAAATATGACCTTGAATATATCACTCCTGAATTAGAGACCATCTAAAGAATAGATTTGATGCATTGAACACCAATGACTAAAAACAACAGGAATTATAGGATGCCATCAAGAACATCATCCATGAAGAAAGCAAGAGGTCATTAAAAAGACAAGAAAGGAAGAAAAGACCAAAATGGATGTCAGAAGAGACTCTGAAACTAGCCCTTGAATGGAGAGCAGCTAAGCAAATGGAAGAAATGACAAGATAAAAGAGCTGAACATAAGATTTCAAAAAGCAGCTCGAGCAGACAAAGCCAATTACTATAATGAAATGTGCAAAGACCTGGAATTAGAAAACCAAAAGGGAAGAACACGCTCGGCATTTTTCAAGATGAAAGAACTGAAGAAAAAAATTCAAGCTTCAAGTTGCAAAACTGAAAGATTCTAAGAGCAAAATGTTGAATGATGCAGGAAACATCAAAAGAAGATGGAAGGAATACACAGAGTCACCATGCCAATTGCTCAATGTTCATCTATTTCAAGAGGTGGCATATGATCAAGAACCAATGGTATTGAAGGAAGAAGTCAAAGCCTCACTGAAGGAACTGGTGAAGAACAAGGCTCCAGGAACTGACAGAATACCCATTCAGATGTTTCTTCTACAAACGGATGCCACGCAGGAGGCACTTACTTTTCAATGCAAGTAATATGGAAGACAACTACCTGGCCAACTGACTGGAAGAGATCCATATTTGTACCCATTCAAAAGCAAGGTAATCCCACAGAATGTGGAAATTATCAAACAATATCATTCATATCACATGCAAGTAAAATCTTGCTGAGGATAATTCAAAAAACGGCTGCAGCAGTACTGACAGGGAACTTCCAGAAACACAAGCTGGATTCATAAGAGGACAGGGAATGAGGGGTATCATTCCCGAAGTCAGACGGACGTTGGCTGGAAGCAAAGAATACCAGAAAGATGTTTGTGTTTTGTTGGCTACGCAAAAGCACTTTACTGTGTGGATCATAACAAATAATGGATAACATTGAGAAGAATGGGAATTCCAGAGCAGTTAATTGTGCTCATGAGGAACCTGTACATAGACCAAGAGGCTGTCATTCAAACAGAACAAGGGGATATTGTGGTAATTAAGGCTGCTGTTAACTTGGCCGGGCCTGGTTGAGTGGCTGGGCAGCTGGATGTATTTATTTCCCATGGTGAGATTGGCAATCAGTTCCTCGGTGGAATCTATTGGAGCAGCTGAGTAGCTGCTTTAGGGATGGGGGCTTCTTCCAGTATATAAGCAGCAGCTTTGAGGAAGGTCTCCAGCTTATGGCATGCTTGAACCCTGCATGTACCCAAGTTGTTGTTCAGCAGCCTGCCATGCCCTGCCCATCTTTGGACTTTTTCTGGACTTGAATTAGTGACCTGTTGTGTTGTTTGGTAACAATGGGACTGTGCCTTTTTACTTGTCAATCTTGGGCTTGTCAGCCTCAACAGCCAGCAGCTAAATGAAGAAAAGCCTCCAGCGTCAGTGGGCCAGGAGTTGGAGGCAGAGCTGAAGCCCAAGGTTGAGGGGCTTTCACCCAGTCCCTAGAGCCTGGCACTTTGAACTCAGACTTCTAACCTCCAAAATTATAAGAGAATAAACTCCTGTTTGTTAAAGCCATCCCACTTGTGGTATTTCTGTTACAGGGGCACTAGGTAACCAAAACAGATACTGCATGGTTTAAAACCAGGAAAGGAGTGTGTCAGAGTTGTATCCTTTCACTATACTTATTCAGTCTGTACGCTGAGCAAATAATCTGAGAAGTTAGACTATATGAAGAAGGACACAGCATCAGGATTGGAGGAAGACTCATTAACAACCTGTGATATGCAGATGACACAACTTTGCTTGTTGAAAGTGAAGATGACTTGAAGCACTTACTGATTAAGATTAAAGACCACAGCCTGCAGTATGAATTACACCTCAACATAAAGAAAACAAAAATCCTCATAACTGGGCCAATAAACAGCATCACAAGAAATGGAGAAAAGACTGACGTTGTCAAAGAGTTCCTATTACTTGGATCCACAATCAACACCCATGGAAGAAGCACTCAAGACATCAGATGTCATATTGCACTGGGCAAATCTGCTGCAAAAGACCTCTTCAAAGTGCCAAAGAGCAAAGACGTCTCTTTGAAGACCCACTCACTGGCTCATACCGACCCCTCCTTGGGCTTCCGAGGCGGTATCTCTATAGAAGTAGATTGCCCAGTCTTCCTTCCGCACTGGTCCGCTTTGAAGACTAAAGTGCACCTAACCCGCCATGGTATTTTCAATCACCTCATATGCATGTGAAAGCTGCATAATGAATAAGAAAGATTGAAGAAGAGTTGATGCTTTTGAGTCGTGGTGTTGGCAGAGAATACTGAAAGCACCCCGGATGCCAGAAGAACGAACAGATCTGTCCTGGAGGAAGTGCAGCCGGAATGCTCCTTGGAAACGAGGGTGGCCAGACTTGGTCTCACCTCCTTTGGTCATGTTGCCAGAAGGGACCATTCCCTGGGGAAGGACATCATGCTCAGTAAAGTGGAGGGTCAACACAAAAGGGAAGACCCTCAATGTGATGGACGACACAGTGGCTGCAACGATGGGCTTGGGTATAGCAAGGACCGTGAGGCTGGCGCAGGGCTGGGCAGTGTGTGTTTCATTCTGTTGTACGTGGGGTTGCTAGGAGTTGCAGCCAACCTGACAGCACCGAACAACAATGTGAAGGTGACTTATGAACATAAACGCAGCATGCAGGGTCCACAGAGCCCCTCCTCAGCCAGTCCCCCTCCTGCTGCCAGGGCCACCAGAGCAGGTGGGAAAGGCCGCAGCTCGAGCCGGCCACATCAAGGCCAGAGACGCGGTCACAGGGTATCACAGGCTAACATCAGGCATGAGGTTTGGGGGTTTAGCTGGAGGGAGGGCGCTTCTCCACTGACTCAGGGACAGTGTGCTGGGTGCTGTGGCAGGAGCTGTCCTGTCAGGGCACTGCGCTCCTCATGCGCACCCCCTGCCCCTTGTGCATGGGACCCCCCCCAGGCCCAGAGGAGATAGCTGGTCTCTCAGCTCAGAGGCTGCCTTGCCTACCACACAGGGGCTCTCACCACCACTGGTGAGAAGAAGCTGCACAAGGAGGTGCCGGTTACCTTGAGCTCCTGCGTCAGGACCACACTGCTCATGGCGTCGGCCTGCAGGTGGCACTCATGCACCCTTCTCTGCATCTCAGACTCAAACTCCAGCAGGAGCTCCTGGGTAAGAAGGGCACCAGTGAGGGCAGGCCCCGCAGGACCATCAGTCACCACAGCAGAAGCTGGCCAGCACCCAGGAGGCCAGGAATGGGAGGCCACTGTCCACTGGGGGCCAATGACCTCACAGCAAGGGCCTACCACCATAGGTTTGCACATCAGCACCGAAGGGCTGCCTGCTGTCTGCACAGTGGAGGTGGCTCAGTCTATGCCCCCCTCTGGGCCCACGTGTTTTGCTTCACATGTAATACAGCCATCACGTGGTATACGCAGCTTTGAACTGCTAAAACAGATGCTTCCCTAGTGGCCCTGGGGTGTACCTGGCTCTCCCACCAGGGGGTGCCCTTAGCTAGCCTCACTGCTGCTGGGTCCTCCTTAGTCCAATGGTCTGAGGGTGGTGACAAGGAGAAGCAAGACAGAGGGGACAACACAGGACTGATGAGGAAGCTGGTCCACTCCTCCTCGTCCGCCCTGATGTCTACCCTGATTTTACCAGCTGTCTTAAACCAGAGGGAAAGGGGACGTTTGTTGTGACAGAGGATGTCCCAAGAGCCCTGGGTGCAAAGTGTGAGAAATGGAGCACGCAGCTCCACACCACAACTACTGGGGGACAGGGTGAGAGAAAGACGGGGCACAGCTCCACTCCGCGGCCACTGGGGGGCAGAGCGTGAGAAATGGAGCATGCAGCAGAGCTGAGCCCACAAGGACCAAGGCTTCCAGGCAGCACACAGTCCAGGACAGACCCACACAGAAATGGAGGCTTAACCCACAGAGAAGGCTGCTGCCCCACTGTGCCCGTGCTCAGCCCTCAGGCCGCCGTACCCACTATGGTTCCATGGTCTTGTTGCTCCACACCTCCTGTGTGTCTCCAGTCAGCTCTCTTGAATGATCACTCTGCCTAACTCTGTGCCAGTAGTGACCCCAGTCGGCCCCAGCCCCACACATGGGATCCCCACAGGCTGATGAACCTGCAAAGTCCACCTGCTCAGAGATCAAGTCAAGCCATGTGCTCCCTGCCTAGCTGCACCCCAACTACCTCCTAGCTCAACCCCATGGCCCGTGTCCTGGCTGCCCCTCCCAACCACGGTCCTCATCAGTGTCACGGGCTCTGCTGCCTGAGCCTACCACCTCGCCCAGGGGCCGCAGCAGGGTCCCTGCCTGTGCTCAACCCAACAAGCAGGTGACCTCTGGCAACGGGATTCCATCCCACCACTCCTCTGTGTAGACCCCAGAAGCTCAGGCCTCACCATCTGGACCCTGGAGCTCCCTAGCAGGCACCAGCCCCCGCTTCCCTTGGCTGAGCTCTGCCGCCCCAGCAGGTGGCCGTGGCGCTCTCCTCCTTAGATCTGTGCGCAGGCCCCTCTCGACCGCCTCCTTTAAATGTCGCCTGCTCCTCCCACCTTGCCCTCTCCCCAGAGGGTCAGGCCCTCTGAAAGCCACATCTCTCCCCTCCAGCCTCAGTTATTAACAGTGCCCCCCGAGTGTGAGCCCCAAAGAGGGCCGGCACGTGCTCCACAGCCAGTGACCACCTGGCAGACAATGGACTAGTCAATCGATCTTCCATCTTCTCATCAGCAGCTTCGACACCTTTGCCTGCTGGCCAATCAGGAGGAAAGGCTTCATCTAGTCTGCAAGCCCTGTACAAGTCACACCTCAGGTTTCACGTCCAACCTGCCCTGTTGGTCCACTCAGAGAGCTCTCCTACGAGGCGCAGGGCCCCAGATCTAAGGGGGACACAAAGGGACCCCCCCAGTCCACACGGGTGGCATGTGAGAGACCCCCAGTCCCTGCAGGTGGCATGCGAGAGACCCCAGTCCCCACAGGCAGCATGCGAGGGACCCACAGTCCCCGCAGGAGGCGTGCGAGAGACCCCCGGTCCCCGCAGGAGGCGTGCGAGAGACCCCCGGTCCCCGCAGGAGGCGTGCGAGAGACCCCCGGTCCCCGCAGGAGGCGTGCGAGAGACCCCCGGTCCCCGCAGGAGGCGTGCGAGAGACCCCCGGTCCCCGCAGGAGGTGTGCGAGAGACCCCCGGTCCCCGTGGGCAGCGTGCGAGAGACGCCTGGTCCCTGTGGGCAGCATGCAAGAGACCTTTGATTTTTACAAGAGGGTGTGCAAGAGCCCCAATTAATAACGGCGAGTACCCAGGGCCCGAGGTGGCTGTGGACCACAGTGCGAGTGGAGGTTCGGTGGCAGCACTTCCCACCCTTCCCTGGGGAGGAGCAGGGAGGAACGGTAACCCCCCAGCTTCCTCCTCTGCACACTCCACTGCATGCTCAGAGAAGGAGGGCTGCATGCGATGGTCGGCCCTCTCAGAGTCACACCAGAGTCCCGGGTCCCAGGAGGTCCTCGCTGGGAACACTGCCTGCAGACTGCGATGCCCCCCCCACCAGAGCCTCCAGCTCCCCTCTTCTCAAGTTACATGGCCTACGTGGGAGGGGCCTTCACTTCTTAGACAGACACACCAGACATCCTGATGGTTCCTTCCTGTCCTCACTTCTACCCCCGCACACACGACACCACCCTCACGTCTACACCTGCAGAGAAATAGCACTGCCTTCACGTCTACCCCTGCGCACACGACACCACCCTCACATCTACACCTGCAGAGAAATAGCACTGCCCTCACGTCTACCCCTGCACACACGACACCACCCTCACGTCTACACCTGCAGAGAAATAGCACTGCCC